GGGGACTGGCAGGGGTCGGGGGGGCTGGGGGAGTGAGCAGAGCCATCGGGGGTTCCCCCCATGGTTCCCTCCCCCCTCCTCCAGCCTCCCCAACCCCTTACTCACCGACACTGGAGCCCTGGTGCTGAAATACGCAGCCTGGCCTGCCGCATGTATCAGCACCAGGGCAAGGGGCCAACCATAGAGATGCTCTGGCAGCCAGAGCATCTCTATGGAGGACCCAGCCTCCGGTTTCCTGCTCCGCTTTTTTATACTTCGCTTTTTTTAGACCCCTGGTGTCAAATTTTCTCCCTGCGCTGCAAAGAGGTTTGAAGCAGGGCAAGAGGCACGTGCGTGCTCATGTGGATGTGCCCTGCCTCTGTGTGCTTGCCAGAGAGAAAGTGAATTTTTCAGCACAGCCTCTCCATGGAAAAAAGTCAGCACTATGCCATGATGCTGGGGGGAAAAAATCCCTATTTTGCCTTCCAAAAACAAAGATGAATGCTTTACAAAGGGGGCACACATGGCATGCAAAAAATACAGTATTATTAGAGATTAAGAACTTCTCCAATGATCAATTTATTACATAATCCACCATGGAGGGGGTTTTTTAATTGTTTTTGAAGCATCTAATCTTGGGAGTTGCTGGAGACAGGGTACCAGATTAAATGAACAATGATTTAATGTTTCTATATAAATGGAAAGTTCACTGACATTTGAAAATGACTAGTAAATAAGGAACTAGTTGATATGCAGTGTTTAGTTACTTGTTCTCACAAAGAAAAACATACTGTAACAATGCCGATAAAGATGTCTCCTCTTTATCTGCATTTAGATATGTAGTGAATCTGCCCTAGCCTCCTTTCTTTAAGATTATATACAGAGGAAATTAATGTTAGTTTGGACAGGGTATTTCAGCCTGCTCTTATAATTACATCAATAAACATCTTCAAAATCATTCAGTATAAAGATAAGACACAGACGTTCAGTTAAGGAGGTTCTTATCTGAGGAATCCCTGTTTAATTTGTTGCAGCAAGTGGATGGTGCATAGGGAATGAGGAAAGTCAAATACACTGCATTGTAGTGTAAATAAACTGAAAATGTATCCTGGAGAATTCTGACTTTATAGTCTTATTTCAAAAAGCAAACTGTACCTTAGTCTTATCATATAAGGCATGGTTATCCAACATCATCTTCCTTTCACGAGAGGCATACCTTCGTAAGTCACGTTCAAATTGCTGTACGATATATAATAAATTCACAATATGATACAAACCCAAATGAGTGCCTACTTCATTGCTGTATACATAAACTTTCTAAAAACAATTCACATATTAAAACACACATTTTTTAATTATGTGGTTTCACTAAAAGACCATATTCTGGACAGATTCAGTCAGGCTAAACAAGACATTCATGAAAAAATGGTATCTGAGACGTGCATTTAAATACATTGTTTTATCCTGTAATTGAATTGGCAGCACAATGATTTATATTCTCATTGCCTGCAGTAGTAGGTAATTATACATATTTAAAAATAGTTTTGAAAATATGTGATATAAAAAAGCATAGTCATTCAGGCCTACGTTATTGTACAGGTGACATTAAGGTATCCAACATAGCAATTGCACATTGCATTTTTCCCTAACTTATCCCTGATAGTCCCACACCAGATGATATCTCAAAGAGGCATTATTTGACATAAAATAAAGCATCATATTACCTGGTAATAGCTGCCTATTAAAACAAAGAAATGTTTAAATTAACACACAGTAAAATCCCAGTTTGTTTATAAATCACCCTATTTTTCTAAGTCAGAAAAGGCTTGCTTTCTTTAGGTTTTTCCAGTGGCATGGAGAAAGCTGAGAGAGCTCTGGCCTAGCTGTCCAAATGGGGTTCATGAGGATTGGGAAAAAGCACATATTTGGCACGTGTGCTAGCCTGGTGCCTGGGAATGAAGGGGAAAAAGATCCTTCCCAATTGCCAAATGTTCCACAGGTAGGACGGAGGCTGGGCCTACAGGACCTGAAACAAGCTTGGAAATACAATTTTAAAACCTAAACTGGAGGCAGATTTAAGATCCTGAGAATAAAATAAAAGGGTTTAAGAGATTAGAATTGAGATTTACAACTGGGCAAGGGAAATAATCAGGTGTTTCATATATTTTTCTAAAAAACACTTATAAAGTGATTAACCTAAGGGGAATTCATTAATGAGGCTTCTCTTTCTTTAATAAACCACTGAGTTCCATAGGCCCCTTAGCAAAAAATGCACTGGAATGCACTGCCTGATGATAAAAAGGAAAAAGTTGGTATTTTCTATAGTAAATTAAGTGCTGAACTACAGTTCTGGATAAATAGAAACACAACATATATTTCACTACAGGATTCTTGAACATCTTAATCCCATTTGGTATCTACTCTACTAATGCAACTACAAAAGTAAAACCGGATCCATGTAACAGTGAATCAAAGCTGTTGTGCCAGGTTCTCTCCTGTGTTTCAGCCCCTTCAGTATAAACTGCACATGCTGAATTCACATTAGGTTTATGGATTATGATGCCAGTCACAAACGATTTTATTTTATCATTTTACAGTAATTCTTAAACACTAATTTAAAAATGTAAAAATAAAGCTATATTGATTAAAGGCTTAATTGAAACAAAAAGTTTTGACTGCTCCTAAATAAAATCTCAATGGACATTTCAAATTCTGAATTTGGAACATTCTTTTCCTGAAATAAAATTTCCTGCCACCTCTGAAAGTCCCCTCTGCAACCCTTTGCAGTGCTGAAGGACTGTAATGGGGCCCTAGGCAAGCCAAAAGTCTGTTCCATGGTTTCTAAAAATTAAACCTCAAATGAAGAGTAAGGTTAATTTTCTTTAGGCAGGCAAATACTATATATGCCATATACTAAATACCATAAATAAGACACCCTTGAATTTAAGATGCACCCACAATTTCTGAGTCCCAATTTAGGAATAAATAAAACACCCTATAAAGACACATTTACAAGGATACAACCTCTACTGTGCATATAAAAGGGCTTTTGATGTTTTTTCTGTTTTGGTTTTATATGAATTTAAGACAGATGCCATTTTTAGAAGAAATATTTGTTTTTTAAGTGAATTTTATACTCAAAAGAATATAAAGAATAAAGAATACAAATATCAGTGATGATTGTGTGTGTAGGCTATGATAGCCTGTTGATGAGAGGATGTAAAGAAAATAATACAAAAATGCAGGGAGAAAGAATATTTAAAGAACCATGAACTCTGAATAGTCCTACAACCTCAAAAAATAGGTTAGTAGCTCAAAGAAAAATGTCAGCTTTTGTTATTACTTACCCTGGAGCCAGTCCAACCTAACAGAGCATATGCATATTGTTCAAAGGGGCTTATGACCAGATCCACCCGGATTGCCTTCCAGTCTTTGACTTCTGCTTTATCAGATTCTTTGGATATATTGCTATTGCTGTTGCCTCTTCTTTGCTGATGTAATTTTAAAATTGCAAAGCATTTCTGAAAATGATCCAAAGCATCAACTTTTCTACTTGGCCGTTTTTCCTTTTCAAATGTTGATTCAATGACATCATAGTATAAAAGTAAGCCCTAAAAAGAAAACATTATTCACATTCATTTTTTTTTCAATTTTCCTGGATACTCGTCTTTAAAAAATGGCTTTGATATGTTTATATCTTTTACAGGTACCACAATACTGTACAGTGATGGACCAAATACCAGCCTAATAGCAATATGGAGTCCAGCAGAACTGCTTGTATCAGTGAAGCACTGTAGCCAAAGTGGTGATGCTCACACACTGAGAACAGAACACCTTCAGAGGTGGCTATGCAATACTTAGGAACTGCCAAGCCTTGCCTTACGATCAGGAGATAATGATCACCGTTCAGTCCCCACTCAAACTTTTTTAGGGTTGACGTCATGCAAAGATCTTTCAAGCAATAATGAGCCACTTCCCAAAGTTATTCTAACTGCTAAGAGACCAGGTCTTGTTTCAAGTTTAAATTTTTCTAACTTCAACTTCCAACCATTGACTTCATTGTACCTTTATGTGTAAGACTAAAAAGGCCCCTGCAATCAGATATAAAGATACTTCTTTTCTTTTTTTCATTTCTATTTTTTAAATCACCTCTCAAGTTTAGTTTTGAGCTGAATAAACTAAGCTTCTTAAGATACACACATCATACGGCTTGTTTTCCAACCCTTGGATCATTTTTGTGTGTCTCCTTTATACTGTTTCCCATTATTGTACTCCTGAAAGATAAACACCTGACTTTGGATGTATTAAAACAAATGTCACTGGATGTTGACCATTTAACCAGAGAATTCAGATCGCTCTCCACTGGTAACCAGTCCTCCTAATTAATTTACTCAGTAGCCTAACTAGCAGGGTTTTTACCCTGGACAACCCCCTGCTGGAGAGGACTTGAAAAGGGGGTGCCAGGAGCCCAAAAGAGAGGGGCAGCCCTAGAATCTTACCTGCTCTAGAGATTCAAAGGCCCCAGTTGCTGCTGCAACAGTATGATCTATCCACACTTGTTGTTGCTGCCACTATAACCATGATACTGGCACCTCCATGGTACTGGCATTGGTATTAAGGTGGTACCCGGAGCTGGTTCTCTGCTTGCCCACGTCTAGTGAAGCTACTGCATTTACTATCCTATCAGTCTCTATGCAGCAGAGAGAGGTAGTCAGCCATGTTAGTTTCCATGTAATCGACAAGTTTCACCAGCAAGGATTATAAACTATCTAGATCACTAGTAGTAATAGAAATAGAACAAAAATGATTCCTGGAGGCTTCTTCCAATATGAAACCCACCCGTCCCCATCAACAACTGCATTTTGAGTTCTATTATGTATCCTGTATTACCATAGAATGAAAGATTTTTAATCAAGGTGACATGTGGTACTTGAATCAAATGCCTTTAAAAGAATCTAATTATGCTATATCATCCTACATTCTTATCTCAAAAAAAGAAACCCTTATCACAGTTATGTTTGACCAGAACTACTTTCCGTGAGACCATATTGACTATCATAAATTACAGTTTTAGACTCTAATCTTTTCTGAGATGGATTTGTTGGTATATTTCCTCTATCAGTAAAGTCCAAAATAAATCATTTAATCATTTTGCATGGAACTGGCATCAAACTATTATTCCTTAGGTCAACTCTTCACCTATTTTAAAATACTGGAATTGCTTTGAATTTCCCTGGTTTTCTAAGATTTTTTTAGAAATTAACATTAGTGATTCAGAAAGTTCCTCAAATATTAAGACTTTTGGATATAAATTAACCAGCTCTGTTTATTTGATACTTTTTTACATATTAGTAGATGTTGCTTCACATAATTTTTGTTACAGATGGTAAAATTTTTATTTTAATATCAATGAGATGGATATTGAATATTAATGCATTGCTATTTATGATTTTATTATCTGCTTCTGGCATTGGACCTCAGGGTTGGGTTTTTGTTTGTTTGTTTTTTGGGGGGGGGGGAGAGGGGTTCTTGTTCCAAATATGTTTAAGTGTGACTTCTTTGGGCAGTGATATCTCAATGATTACTTTAGTTTCTGTTGACAATCTCCCAACATTCTTTTTAACTTTCCCCTTTTTCCATTCTTTATATCTTGATCTTTTTATATCATATAATGACTTCCACATCTCCTTTCTATTTAGATGTTATTTTACTTTTTCATGCTTGTACAGTCATACTATAAGGGGGATGTCCATAAACAATACTAAGTCGTCATTATCACTTCCAGTGTGATGTTCTCAGTTCATATGCTGATAACTGATTTAAGCTTTGGGATACTAACCCTCTCAAAGTTTCAAGAAGAAATATTGGTGGGTGGTTCATAATTCTGTTTGCATAAAATAAATGTACCCAGGTTATAATCACCAATTCCTAGGCTACTGTTATTTTGTCCATCTAAATGATATCAGACGTTGAATTGCTCTGTTAAGTTTTGGACTTTCTTTGTAAGAAATTATCATCCACTATTTTTAGAAACTCCAAGCAAGATGAGATCTCCAATGCAGGCCTCTCAGCTAAAATGAGCAATAACTTAGTTTTTCTTTCTACAGATTAGAGACAAAAAGCTTATGGAGCAGGTTATCTTACTCTTTAATGAGAACTGGTGGTCTGCAGGAGATGCCCACTGGAACCCCATTTTTATTATTAATAGTTAGAACCTTGATCCAGTTGAGAACCCATGATTCTGAATCTTTTATGACCTATAATAACTAACAATGCCTGATGGAAAAAAATTGCACCCCCTTCTTCCCCCCCCCCCCCCCCCCTACTTTCTGCCCTTAGGAACAAGTTGTAACCATCCAATTTAATTTTTCTGTCATACTCTCTGTCCGCCGGTGGCCCCATTATCCCTATTTCATCATTATTTTCTTTCCCTTGAAATCTTGTTTCTGACCTATATGTTTTAGTTTAATTTTGATTCTGTTCATTCCAGGTTGTTTACCATCATTGTGAGTGTATTGTTAATGTTTTTCAATTTTAGTTTCTAGGTTTTGAAAATTGATTTGATTTCCAGTGCTTTGCATTGGTTTTCTTGAGAGACATTCCAGTAGTTCTCTAACAAATTGACAGTCCTGCAATTACCGCTGTTAACTGAATAAAGCCCAGTGTTTAAAGGAGTACTCCTTCTTGTCTGATTTTCTGCTTCCTTTTTATAGAAACGTCAAGAAAATATTTTCTAGTTCACTTTAGATTTACATCATGCAATTCTGGGGTTATTACAAGTCAAAGTCCTCATATAGAACACACTTTTCCCCTACTGACTGGGTCACATCCTCCAGTAAATGCATTTTCAATATCTGCAGGTGGCTGTGGTTAGCAAGTGTGACTAGAAAGGCATTTCAGGACTGCATATCTCTAGGTTATCGTTATTGCGTTTCCATAGTTAAGTGGCTTGGCAATTTGTAAAAGTTAATAGGAAGGACATACAAGATGTCCCATGCTGTAAATAGCTACTCCAACATTTTTTAAAAATGCAATTAGGCAACAATTACACAACTGCTGACTACAACAAGGAGTTGAAATCTGATTCAAAGCCAGAATGCCACCTTTAAATAGGAATCAAAGCCCAGGACACATCCACTGGGATAATGTTTCTGATTAACCTAATTTGATTAGGCACTGGACATCACCATTGCTTCATAAAATGCAGCTGAAACAGCACTTCTCTAAGTTAAAAAAATACTGTTAAAGGGAGCAGTCAGCTATAAAGATCATGTGTAACTCTGAATATTGCCAGTTACATAACAGAATATTTGTTTCTCTATAAATTAGTGCATCTGCAGCTCTCTGCAAATATCATCTTGTTGAATTGTTTTCTATTTTCCTATAGTTCTTATTTGCAGTTTAGATTTTTAAATGAAGATTAGTATAAGCAATTTTTTTTTAACAGAGGTTTGCCATCTTGTCAAACCCAAACATGATTTTTGGGGGAAGCATGTCAAAGGAACATGGGTAGAACAGGTTTCCAACTCTAAAACATAATATATTTTTTATGTGGGCTTAATTTTGGCATGTTAGCACTGTTCCTTTTGGAACAAATCCATGATCAAAGTTTGGATGTTGAATTTCATAGATTCATAGATGCTAGGGTCAGAAGGGACCTCAACAGATCATCAAGTCCAACCCCTTGCCTAGGCAGGAAAGAGGGCTGGGGTCAGATCACTCCAGCCAGATGCCTATCTAGCCTTAAAGACCCCCAAGGTAGCAGAGAACACCGCCTCCCTTGGAAGCCCATTCCAAATTTTGGCCACTCTTACCGTGAAGAAGTTTTTTCTGAGGTCTAGCCTAAATCTGCTCTCTGTCAGTTTGTGACCATTGTTCCTTGTTACCCCAAGAGGCACCCTGGTGAACAGAGCCTCTCCGATTCCTTGCTGCGTCCCCCTAATGAATTTATAGGCAGCCACAAAATCACCTCTCAGCCTTCTCTTGTGGAGGCTGAAGAGGTCCAGGTCCCTCAGTCTCTCCTCATACAGCTTGTCCTGTAAGCCCCTAACCATATGAGTGGCCCTCCTCTGGACCCTCTCAAGTCTATCAACATCCTTCTTGAAGTACGGTGCCCAAAACTGGACTCAGTATTCTAACTGCCGTCTGACCAATGCCACTCAGAGGGGAAGCATCACCTTATTAGATCTATTTCTCATGCATCTGCTGATGCATGATAAAGTGCGGTTAGCTTTGCTGATGATTTTGTCATGCTGATGACTCATGTTCATCTTGGAGTCCACTATGACTCCGAGATCCCTTTCCACTTCTGTGCTCCTGAGAGGGTCACTTCCCAGCCAGTAGGTGTGCTGGATATTTTTACAGCCTAGGTGCAGCACTCTGCACTTGTCCTTGTGCATCCTATTGTGTACTTCCCAGTTTTCTAACCTGTCCAGGTCTGCCTGCAACCATTCCCTACCCTTTGGAATGTGCATTTCACCCCACAATTTAGTCTTGTCTGCAAACCTGGACAGAGTACACTTCATATCCACATCCAAGTCACTGATGAAGATATTGAAGAGTACAGGTCCAAGGACCGAACTCTGCGGGATCCCACTACCCACATCCTTCC